ATTTAATCTAGCTAAAAGGTCTACTCATAATCAATATAATCTAAATTAAAAGCACGGCATGAACAGCAAAGTGCTAACAAGAGGCAAGCAGACATCTGCTAGGTAGGGGTGGGATGTTTCAATAAACAAATTCACCCAAACATATTTAAATGAGAAACAAAGAAGTCACAGCAAATGCCAGAGACTTGGTCCTCAGTATACTCTACTATACTGTTGAATTGTGGCTACTCCTCTTTTTGCCCGATCATAGAACATACTTTCATATTCTGAAGGTTTGGGACAGAAGTTGTCCATTTCTATGACTTCCAAAGAAAGAAATGTTAGGGAAGTTGAGGTTTACTGATATAGCCAGTGAAGAATTCTGAACATTAACTCCTATCTCCACCTGAATTAAACTAGTGTACATAAAGACAAATCTATCCAGTAGTCTACTAACAGTAAGAACCAAGTAAAATTTAGCAACTGACACGCAACATAGACAAGAGTACAAACAGAGCTGTCTGAAAAAGCAACAGAAAGAGTCACGCTCATCTTTGCTGCCAGAATGGGATAAAAGAAGTGGAGGGTACGTCTGCTCTGACATACATTTGCAAAATCCTTTTGGGTCTCCATCATTTCTGGACACACGGGCTCACTGCTGAGACTGATGGCTTTTATTTAAAAGTCAGCACCACCTCCTCCTAGAGTAAGAGGTCTAAGCTACGTCACTTCAAGGCTGAACAGTTATGAATACTCTGAGTGGAGCTGCACTTAAAATGCTACGGAAGTTTCAGCTGCTGCAAAGCTTGGCAAGCTCTTCACTTAATGTACTTTCTGCAACTGTGTTCTTCATATTATGTACAATTCAAAACCTCATTTTAAAAGCCATGACATCCTGTATTACTTAAAACTTGTCTGGAGGAAATCCAAACAACACCATTATTAAAAAAGCAATGAAATCCTCAGGTTCATCATTATAAACCAATATCACGGCAGCCTTCAGACCAACTGTTCAGCTATTTCTTAGATGCAAGACATCAAACAGTATTTCTGAGATTGTCCACAGAAGATCATCCTATAGACACATATCTGAATTCAACTGAATACAAGCACCAACAGACACACACTATTTTTAACTGAAGTGTGCAGCAGTGATGAAATATTTACTACAGACAGTAAATATCAGCTGAAGACGGCCTGCTGGGGACTCACTTTAAATTAAGATATGATGGGCAACCTAGTAAAGCTGAAGCCAAACCAAAATTATAGGCAGCTTTTTTTTCCATATTGAACTCCACATTACAGGAAAGCACTCTTATTTACACACAGACACACACAGCCTCTGACAGAAAGTTCTCATCCACTTCTATATATTCCTGTTGCTGAATACAGAAATTCTGAACAGGACCATCAGAAACAGAAAAAACTTCTTTTATTTTACTTACCTTGAAGAGAAATGAAAATAAAATAAAATAAAATAAATTTAAGACCAAAAGATTAGAAGCGCAAGATGAAGATGGATCTCAATAAGAGTGCTGCTGTATTACAGAAGTATAATGTTTGTACATCAGCCAGCTCATAAAATTCTTAGCACATATATTAAAATTGTCATCCTGATAAAAGTTTTGGTGAATTCTCAACTTTGCTTTTATCTGTGCTAGGTACCAGAGTCTCTGTAAATTAAACTCTAGGCTTCTCCACCCAAAACAAGCATGTTGTTGTAATTTACAGGAACTTGTACATGAGTTCTACCAGCAAATTGAACCCTGGCCTGCAACACCTTAACACCAAGAACACTTAAGTCACTTGGACCTCATCTACCTTAAATTCAAAATAAGACTTTTAAATGCAGTAGCATCCTGTATGTTTCCCAGATTAACTTACACATTTTAAGCACACTAACCTTGAATTTTGTAGAAAACACTCTTGAAGACACAAAGTGCATGGAAAATTACAGAGAGGAGTCATTCATCTGACCATAATTAAATCATAATCAAATGTGTTTACATTAAAAAAAAATAACAGCTCTCTAAGTTCTCAAAGCACAAAGTTAATTTTCAATTTTCTGTGAAAAATTCTAGGAAGAATAGATTTAATTTTCAGTTCTTGCACAGCAACTTGATTTCATCAAGTTCATCTTCCAAGGTCAGAGTACAGTTTGGCTAGAGTAATCTGTAACAGAAGGTAACTCCCAGAAAACAAAAAGCATTGCCAAGAATCCAGTTATTTTATCAAGACAATGTTGATGTATTTCATTTCCAGCTGTCCATACAAGAAAAACCTGTCAGTTTTACTCCGTGTAAATGCAACAGACAAAGCACATCTATATAAGATTAGAATGCTCTTCTCTCTGTGAACAAGACATCCACAACTAAAGCCTTCTTACCCGTTTCGGGTTTAAGTGAGCTAGAACTGATGCCTTTCAAATTACTACTGACCATCACACTACAAGTATACTAGAAAAGCTTACTTCTCCGACACTTCAGAGAACGCACAGAATGCAGAATAAATCGCATTTACTTTTATAATAAGACGTGCAAATACACAAGTACTAATTTGCTGTTTTGTAAGTATATGCGCACCACTATGAGCCTTATCCTTATACCCAGAAACTCGGTGAATGTAAGTAATGCCACTAGAAATTGAGTGTCTTCAAGGCAAATACAGAGTAGTTTTGATATAGGAGCAATCAATCTGCCATTCCTTCTTTTACACAAGGAGTTTGCATCAGTCATCAGAATGGTCTAACTGGCCAATTCAGCTAAACCTATAAAAGAGGAAAAGGGCACATACAAACAATTCAATCTAATACTCCTTAAGATAAAGTACTCCAAAATCAAGATGTGCTACAAGCTACATGCCAAATCCGAGAGAGAAATACTACACTGGTTACATAGTGATTTAGTAATTCATGTGATTATAGTAGTACTTGGATAACTAGTTAAATTGATTTCCCATCTCTTTCTACTAAATTGAAAACAACTACTATGATAAGAAAAACTTTAAAAAAAATGTACACTATGAAATCCCTTCTTTCCTGAAAAAAATACAACAGAGTTGTCAGTAAATTTAAAGTTATCCTGCTTGTACCCCTCCTTGAAATCCACAGCTAAACAATGGGTCATTTGAGACAGCAGTTCAAAAGAATGCTCAGCTTGAAATAATTAACAAAAAAGTTTGAACAGTTTCAAATATTAGTCACCACAAAGTTTTCCCAGTGAACACTTAAGAGAATTGGAAAAAAAAAAAAAAAAAACCCCAAACATTGTTTCACCTCATGAAAAATTTACACCTAGGAAGTAACTGACCCTTTACTATAACAACAACAAACAACTTGTCACATACAGGAGTTATTTCTGATTGAAGCAAGAATAATAAAATATTTTTGGCTTTTGAAAGCACCATCAGTTGTCGCCTTCCACAATCATTTCAACTTAAACACCATTGAGGAGAAAAGTGAGTTTCACACCATGACAACAGTATTTTTCCAACAGCAATCTATAAAAAAATCCATACACTGCTGTATATTTATATAAAATTGCAGTAGAATTTCTCTCAACTGAACTTGCTTTCCTACAGATTTCACACAGAAACCACACAATTATGCCATTCTTGAAAATGGAAATTGGTTTTTTTAACTGTATTAATCTTTTTGAAATGTTTAGAAAGAAATGTTTACATGTAAGTAGCTTGCTAGATTTAGGAAGGAAAACTGAGGACTGAAAAGGGAAAACAGGAACAATACAGCTTAGAGTTTGGGTGATTCTACTCAGCCACAAATTCAAGTACAACAGTTTACAGACCATACCATTGGTTAATGGCATCCATTAATGCAGCAGACCTGAAATAGCAGCTAAAGAGAAGCCACAATTATTACAACAACAAAAAAAAAAAAAAGAATGATTTTTGCCTGCAGCACCTGATTTAACACAGGGAGCAGCAAAGGTCAGAAACTTCTCCTTTCTGATTTCCATCATACCATTGTAACACAACTAGATTAACCTTTATTACTTTTTAGTTTCTATCCCTGAGTAACTGCCAGTACCGATCCCCATGCCAAGAATCACCCAGTGATTACATTATAATGAGAGCAGCAGAAACAGAAGGGTTTAAAACTACCGCTTTAAAGGGTATAAACAGTAACTATAATATTTAAGGATATATAAACATTTATAGAAATAATAGGTAATCTTGGAATAATATATGCAAGTATAACATCATCATTACATCCTTGGGACAAAAACCAACCATGCAGGGAAGTGCAAGGTTAGCAATAGCTAATCGACACCTGAAAGTTGCTTTGCCTACGACCAAGTGCTCTTCAAAGTGCTCAAAGTCCAGTTGTATTCTTTTTAACTAAAATGGATAAAACCCAAGAAGTTCTGCAGACACCCATTGCCTTTCCTAACTACCCACTCCTGCCCTGTAGCAGTAGCTCCAGAAGCCAACAATTAGTAACTCCCAGCAAGACAAAAAAAAAAAAAAAAACAAACACACCAACAACAAATCAAACTCTCCAAAAGGAACTAAATGAGTTAAGTAACACCCTTGGACTTCTACACTGCCATGACAACTCCGCATGTGTTCACAAGGTAGCAGTCTTAAACTTTTCAAGTTTTTAAATCAAAGTCCATAACAGTATCAGAATGGCCTGTATGTAACTCTTAAGCACGTGAATGAATCAGGCAGGTAAAAACAACACTAAAAGAAAATACTAGTGACAGAAGAATGTCCATCAAGTTCTATCAAACAAAAGGATGTAGATACAACTTCACATTCAGGCTAGGCCAAAAGAAATACCAGAAACTGGGAAAGCATACTGGAGGGAAAGGGCTGACATTTCCCGCTTTTATATCTTTCTCAAATTGAGCAAACACCAACAGATACTTCAGGAAAGCAGTAAGCTAAATTCACCTTTCCCTAACATAACCTGATGCTTCATGAAATATATAAAAAGCCAACAAAACACCATAAAGATAAAAAAATTATCAAAAGATACCTTCCTTTCAAAACGTCCATACCTGTGGAAGTGCAGTATTGAGCTGTCTCTGCAAGGAATCTCTCTCATGACCAACTTCATGTAGCTTGCCCTGGGTCAACGCTAGCGTCTCCTGAGTTTCTCTTAGTGTTTCCAGAAGGCGATCCCTTTCTTCCAACATGGATACCATTAACTGCTCAAAATGGGAATCAGCATCTGACTGTAACGGGGAACCTGAACCATGGCCTCCATTTCCCCCAGAGGGAATCTCTGCCTCACTGATGGTTGGCATCACCTCACACATCATCTTGAAACAAAGTAAGACAAAACAAAGACCATAAAATTAAGTCAAACAAATCTAAACAGGATAAGCAAAGGAACTTTGGATACTACCCATAACACCAACTTAGCTTGCCCAATGATAGCATCAGCAAAGGTTGCCAACACCCCAGTGTTTGCCACTATTTCATTACAACTGTGGGAGAAAAGGTTCACAATCAATTTAATCATCACATTATAATGAGAATCTTGTGACTTCTTGCAAAACCAGATTTTTACAGCTACGTTTCAAACTGTGATCTCATTTTAAAGGATTTATATTTTTGTTAAGTGTAAACTGCTGCTGAGATCTTTAAAAAAACAAAGATAAGGCATGCAGCATGCCACCAAAAATTATGCACTTAAAGCAGCAACTGATTACACTGCATATTTTGAGAATCATTATCTGCTTCTTCCAAGACTTGAAACATACAAAGATAGTATCTAGAACAGTACTTGGAGCTTACACCGGCTGTAGAAAGTCTATGGTAAAAGTGATGCACGTAAATTAGTCGTAAATCAAAATGGTCCAATTCAGGAGATATATATGTAAAGAAAAATAAAAAGCAAAAAATTAATTATGAAGTGCTAGCAGCTGTCACTGTGGATAACAGAAGTAAAAGTAAGCAAAAATAATTCAAGGTAGAGTATGAATATAATTAACAGTACAAATGTAAATACTGTATTACTGGTAAACTGGAAGGACTTTTATTAAGAGACCCTAACAGATTGTTACCAGAGGCTAAGGCATCAAGTTTTATAAGAAGCAAGGAAAAAACCACTAACATAATTACTGCACACTCTCACTGAACCACTAAGACTTCTGAAGTTCTTCAGACAGCCTCTCAACATCACAAACCTAGAAGAAGCTAAGGTAAATGAGAAAAAAATAGTTCTCTCAGCCTCTCAGGTACCACAAAGTGTGTTCTCAGCCTTAAATTTCACACTCATATCTGAGCATTTTAAAGAACAATTAAACTTATTCTAAGCCTTTCAGTTGGACCTCTCAATTCCTTGAAAGACCTGGAACAGCCTGAGGTGCTTTGTAACATTCTCATGCATGATTACCATAAGCCCTGTATTTTTGAACACCACGACGTTATTTACCTTGCTCAATAAAATAAAAAGGCTTGGAAAACAGGCCCCAGGTTTCCTGCAGTACCAGTTCTTCTGTTTTTAGTAGTTTTTTGTTACCTCCAAAAACCTTTCGGATTGCAAAGCATCCATTCAGCTCTAGTCCAAAGTCTATTTAATTGAAATACCCCGTGCACATGAAAACAAATAAACCTGGCGAGTAAAGAGCAGATCCAGTAAAAAACAGCAGCAGCTTCAGCTAACCAGCCAAGTCCCCAGCACAGAAGAATGTGAAAACAAACTCTCTCAGCTTCCCATCCCTCTATTACTGGCCCATAGGTCCTGCAACAGCTGGGATTCTAGTCCAAAGTCTATTTAATTGAAATACCCCGTGCACATGAAAACAAATAAACCTGGCGAGTAAAGAGCAGATCCAGTAAAAAACAGCAGCAGCTTCAGCTAACCAGCCAAGTCCCCAGCACAGAAGAATGTGAAAACAAACTCTCTCAGCTTCCCATCCCTCTATTACTGGCCCATAGGTCCTGCAACAGCTGGGATGGGGGAATCATGTGCTGAGAAGATAAAAAAAAAAAAAAAAAAAAAATGTAGTCTGATGCAGTGGTGCAACAAGCTTCAATAGTTCATCGCTCCTAAATTCCACTCAGGTCACAATCGCATTATTAAACAGAGCACGGACAGCATGGGAAAACGGCACGAGCCTTCTTGTAAAGGATTTGGAAAAGCCTCCCTTCTTTTCTCTTCTAGTAAATCCAACGGGAGGCTCTCCTTCCAGTTTCCTGGGTCTTAGTTCAAACATTTATAATCCCAAGAGCAAGGCGCTGGTATCGCTCTGGAAGGCCAGGAGAAGGCGCAGACCTGTTGTTTCCTCTGCGTTAGTCCTCTCACCCCGGCCGGTCCCACCGACGATGCTCCAGAACCGAGATAATCCAGCCGAGAAGGGCAAAATA